GTTGTTCTATAGTACAGGGTCGGATGACCAGCCTCGTGTTGTGGTGCCTCATGATGAGGACATTAAGTATCAGATACTTTATGAGGCTCATGATACACCACTTGGTGGTCATTTAGGTTCGTGAGAAGATTTACAGCTTAGTGAGCACCCATTATTGGTTGCCAAAGCTATATGAATGGGTCGATACATATTTACGCACGTGTGAAACGTATTAAAGGGTGAAGCTCTCGCCTAGTATGGCTGCGCCTTTGGCGAGTTTGCCTTTACCCTCGGGGTTGTGGCAGTCCATTGGTATGGATTTTGCGTTTGGCCTACCGCGTGATGCAGCAGGCAACACTGGGATTGTGGTCTTTTTTGACCGACTGAGCAAGATGGCCCACTTAGCGGCAGTGCCGGACTCCATTGATGGAGAAGGAATAGCTAAGCTGTTCACGGATCGTGTGTTTAGACAACACGAATTGCCTGTAACAATCGTCTCGGATAGAGACCCCCGTTTTACGGGTAACATCTGGACGTCAGTCTATAAAGTGCTGGGCACTCGACTGGACATGTCCACGGCGGGTCATCCGCAGACCAATGGTTAGACAGGACGCGTGAATCGCGATATTGGTGATATGCTTCGGCAGTGTTTGTGCTGAAACACCCAAGCAATGGATCACGATGCTGCCTCTCATTGGTTTTGCGTTGAATAACGCGGTGCATGCCTCGACACGCTTCACCCCATTCTATGTGAATGGTTTGGTTAATCCTCGCGTTCGCTAACACTACACCCTGCCGCTTCAGGGCTTTAGTGGGGGAGAGATGCCGAAGACTTGGCCGATATCAGCCGTGTTGCAATGCGCAAGAAGGAGGAAGCGTTTCTTTTAACGCGTTTGACGTATTACGTCGCATCAAAGACGCTATGGCTGAAAGTCAGGATGTTCAGAAGGAACATGCGGATGCCAAAGGCAGAAAGAACGAACACGAGTATAAAGTGGGTGATTTAGTTTTATTAAACGCTCGGAATTTACCTACTCGTGCCGTTTCTGCGGTATACAAAACCAAATTACGTCCACGCTTTATTGGACCTTTTAAGGTCATAAGCAAGAAAGGCTTAGCCTATGTTCTGAACCTTCCAAAGAAAATGCGAACACACTCTGTGTTCTTCGTGGGCTTGCTAAAGTCATATATCAACCCTGCCTCGGTGGACTTCGAAGTGTTGTCCCCATATCCCCGGCCGAAGGAGGCGGGTAGTACGGTACCGGAGGTGCATATGGACGCTGGAGGCGTACCAAGATGTCGATCTGACATCGAAGTTCGGCTTGAGAACTCTCAATCGCCGCTAAGCGATCCGAGGTCTCAGAACGATAACGCTCAAAGGATCGACGGTGTCTATCGACACGGTCATTGAGCGATGACAGATGAGACTTCACCGATGCAAGAGCATCATGCTCCAGAAGTGTCAGGCGACACTCTATCTCTGAGAGATGAGAGGTCAATGAATCATCGACCTCCTACGACGCTGATTGATGAGCTGGGTCATCAACAGCTCCACGTGGAGCGTCTCGAGGCTCGGCGTCGTCACCAGGGTCATACCCAATATTTGGCGAAGTGGAGGGGTTACCGCCAGTCGTACGACTCGTGGGAGCATGAGGTACCCCTCCGGCAGGATTGACCTGACGCCGCTGACGCTTTTGACCAGGACGGTCAGAAGCGACGACAGCTGTCGTCGGACGCTTCCTAGCACTAGATGCTGTGAAAGTAGAATCAGTAGGATGGCTTTGCCTCTGACCTTCAGAAGAAGCCAATGTCGATACATCACTCGTGTGAGAGGTACGGGCAACAGCTTCAGAATCTTGCTCCCCACAAGTCTTTGACCTGTATGTGGACGGTAATTGATGTTTCGCTTTGATCTTAGCGAAGATAAATCGTAGACGACGTTCTAACCAAATGTCTTGCGCTTTAGCGCTTAAGCGCAAGTTTGACAAACTTGAGAGCTTACATGCTCGTTCTACCCAACGGGTGAACTGGTAATCATCTTGTACAGATGTTTCAACTGGTGCAAGCACCACTGGTTTTCAATTTAGTGGGTGCACGGGCACCCCACGTGACTGTCGTGACAGTCGCTCCTGATACGATTTCATCGTAAACTCCTGGGGAGTAAGGAGCCGCTCACGAAGAGTAACATTATCTGCATTCTCGCAGACCGTACGGGTATGGGACCCAATGACATAGGTTCGCAAGGATTGCGATGCAGCTCGTCGAGCTTTCTCATTAGGGTCCCGGGGCACGAACCCATAATCACGTTGTTAAAATGCTTGTTTGGGCCGTGCCAAAGCGGCCGCTCGGGCCTCGTCATCGAGTTGATGGCGCTGTGCAGCGTCAAGAGGGGTTGATTACCTCTTCGTCTGTACCCTCTCGCGAGGGAAGTAGTGAAGCTTGGCGCAATGCGGTTGTCTCTCTTCGGGAGAAGAATAACAGACTGGGATCGGCGTCACTTCGCTCAGTGAGCATGATGATCTTAGGGTCATCATGCTCACCGAGCGAGTGACGTACCATAACCCGAAGGAGACTCGGCACCGCTACCTCTAGATGCAACGTCACTTTCATCGTCCCCAAAGATGTCGTGACGCATTGTATCCATCCATGATGGAGCAAACACTTTTGAGACAAGTGCTTTATAAAGCAAGTGTTCGTGAACACTGAAATGCTTCAAAAGCAAGTGTTGTGAACACTGTAATGCTAAAAGCAAGTGTTGTGAACACACTAATGTTTAAAAGCAAGTGCTAGGCACCTTGTTTGTGAAAGCAAGTGTTTGTGAACACACAAAGGGTATTAATATCTAGTGCTAGGCACTTAACGCTTATAAGCAAGTGTCATAACACTTAATGCTTTAGCGTGAGTGCGATGCACTGTATGCTCAAGGAGAGAGTTTCGTAACACTATAATGCTTAGAATGTGTGTGTGCAAGGCACGGGTGCTCAAGGAGCAAGTGTTAAGAACACTAACGCTTTGTTCGCAAGTGCAAGGCACTTATTGCGAGGCAAGCAAAACGAAAAGAAAAGAAAATCGATGCCTCCAATCAAGTGCGAAAATTCGTGGGTACGTCGAGTCCCACGGATTGGTGGGGGGAGGGTGTAACGGGGTTACTGAACCCTTTGCTGTGGCAGGTGTGTATTGTAATAATACACACCTGCCACAGCAATGTGGTGTGGCTGTACCTTGGGTACAAAAGTAGGCTTGATGTGACCGTACCTGAAGCACGAAGTGGTCGCAGACAGAGAGCCACGTGGTCACTATACTTATTTAAAGTATAGTGACCATGCATGTTTGCATAATACTAACAGGCTATAGAGCCAGTAAATAGTGACTAGCATAAGGTGTTTCTATATTTAGTGTTAGGAGATAAACATGAACATAAGTCAGTTTTAAACCTGCTCTGTAAGCCTTACAGCTTGAGCGTTCTACTCCTCCTGAGGAATTAAGTATCTTTGATACTAGTCTCTTTGAGACGCGGTTACAACAACCGATAGGTACAAGCTTACGAGCTAGCGTAGGAGGGTTAAACACTCTGAGACGTAGTAGCTCTCTGAGCTTATCTTCCTCTTCACATAGTTCATAAGTAGCTTCACTACAGTAGCTTGGCTACATCTTCTGGACATAGTGCCTAAGTAGCGTAGCTACAGTAGCTCGGCTACATTGGCGGTATCTACATATCTGGTCTATGTGTCTTAAGCGTAAGAACTGCCGAATGGCTGTTTCTTGACGGCTGGCCTGTTGCAAAGTCATCTTGCGTCATTCATCATATTCATGATCAGCACGAACTACACTAATGATCGCGCATTTTTAGTGGAAATTGTTTTGAGGCCAAGATGCACCTCCCGGTTAGCGGTACTTTATGGCGCTCTAACAAACTTGGCTTCATTGATAACCTTTCTCTCTTCGGCTACTTGACCATATTCGTACTTGCCCATTATTTTTGCCTTTAAAAGATGCTTTCACCTGACTCACCAAAGCTAGTTGCACTTAAAGAGACCCTGTGCAGATGTGGTCTCCTTTCAAAATCGATTCCTTGCCTCTGCGTGGTCAAATTTTGATCAAGAAACAAACGTGCCTAAAGTCCATGTATTACTTGGTTAAACAGTTACTACCTCGCGTTTTTTGGATGCGCTTCATTACCAAGTGTCACCGATCACGGCTTTATTTGTGAGCTGTTGAATATATTTGTCCAAGGATCAATAGAGCTGTGGAGCCTCAAAGCTTAGTTATTCCACCTTGCGCACACTTTTGGGCTGCTACTTTGATGCCACCACTCAAGTTTTTAGCACTGGCATCTGCAACATACCAATGCTCGCCCTAGCTTAGCTGTACAAACATCATAGCTCATAGCCTCCTTTGTCACATATACTACCGTCATTATTGTTTGCTCGGTAAGCATTAATTAGACATTAACTCTTTAAAGTAGATGATTGAGCAAATTAGCCCTCAATGCCTGACTTCTACTCGGACGGGGATCCGTCAGTTGGTCATTCATTAATCTATTTGTGACTAAGAGCGGGAACGAGGTTTTCTATCTGCATCATGGCAGGCGCAAGCGGTCAAGTAAATCCTCAAAAATGGAGAATTTACAGAGTGCCAAGAAACAAAATAGACCCGTTGAAGAAGATGAAAAGCAGATGAATGATCAGAAAAATTTGGTCAAGGAGACCAACCGTTCTGTTGGTAGCAAACAAGTGTAGAAACAAAAACTTCGGTGTTGCAAATTTCAATGCTGAAATGGACTTCTCAAAGCTGTTGTGCCGATGAAACAAACGCTAACGACTAAGCACAACTCGAGTGGGTATTCGACACTGCGAAGAATTAACCGATGCAGTTGAATCTGTGTTGCGGCGAGCGCAACAAAGCAGTGCGTTATGCTGTGCTTCGTCAATTTCATCGCTGACCCGAAGCAAAGATTTACGCGCAGTAGAGCAATACCAAAGCTGTTGCAGGAGGCTAAGGATCAATGCCAGAGTTAGGTTATGCTGTACATCGAGGAGCTTCGTGGAAAGCTGCTGGCTGGTGCAAACGCTCTGTTCTGGCTTAATGTACTGCAACCGATGGTACATCCTGCGTATTTATCGAGACAAGAAGCCCGAGAAGTTTTGCTGTTGCTATTGGAGGAGCTTAGAAATGCTGACGGTGTTTGCGAGGTGTTGATGAAAAAAATGAGCGCTTTTGGGATCTTTTGACGCTACCTTTAAAGCTAGAACCGCTGTTTCAAGGCGTGAGTACGTTAGCGCTCTGTGGTCACGAGATTGCTGCAAATGAGGCTTTGCAGCTGCTAGCAGTCTTTGCTAAGCAAAATACAGTATTTGTAAACAAAAGAGGGCTACACCCATGGGGCTCTCCATCGTCACCTCTGTGGGTCTTCTTGCTCCGCTGGAAATTTCAAGCGCAAGAGAACTGCCTAAAGCATTTTGTGAACGGTTTCGTAGCCGTTCATTATGCTGATAAGAGACTGGCACATGGTAGTTGATGAAGTGCTGGATATCCTCGGAAAATTTCTTACCGGCAAGTGGGTGTCGTGCGAACGAGCTTTGTTCAAAAATCCGGTTAACAACACCGTTGAGCATGATTTTCAAAGCCGTTTTGCACGACTTCGACACGCTCTGGCAACAGACCAACTGTATGTGATGAGAAAAACGGGTGGAGTGACGTCAAGAACCAACGAGGAGTGCGTGGACGTCAGCATCTTACACGACAATGAGCTGTTGCTTGTGCAGCTGGACGGCGCAATAAGTTGATGTAGTCCCCTACACCTTGTCGTTTTCATTAAGTAGTTGGTATTTTTTCAAAAGAATGTTCTGCCTGGTCTTGAGCTGTCAATACCTTGTAAGTTTCCATACCGTTGGTTCAAAGCTAAAGCTGCTTGGAAGCTAGCAAGCCAAGAAACAAGTGAAAGTTCGATCCATGCGTTTCAACGTTGGTGCAAAGAAACTTATCAGCTCAGACTGTTTTCGGCTATTGGGTTTAGTGCAGGAGGTCCAGAATGACGTCGAAGTGATGAAGCCTGTCTTGTGCGAGCTAGAGGTGATGCGGCTGAGCGGAATAATGTCGTCAGTAAATACCAGAGATTTTATGATGGAGATGCTAGAATCTCGTGAGTTCGATGATGACTTTGTTCTTTTTCTTCGCAAGGAAATTTTTGGGCCAAATAAGGACCAAGCGTCGAACGACATCAAGGTTATATCCCTGTTTGGCAAACAAGATGCAGTAAAGCACGAGCTGAATAATTTGAGCTGTTGGTCGGTCGAGGTGAGCAACAACTTGAATAAAGAAGACCAGGGGGTCTACTGTGTCACTCGTCAGAACGACGAGGCTCCAGGGCGCTTGCTGGTTTTGTTTGGGTGGATTCAAGATTTTTTGTTCAAGAAGGATCGATTGCGTGATACTGTGACGTATATGCTTTGTTTTCTGACGTGCCTAAACCCAGATATGGTGTGCTGCCTATCGCCGGAAGATGTTGAGCTAGTTGAGCGAACGGTAGTCTCCATGAAATCGAACCATTTGGACGCTTGGAAATCGTTTTCAGTTGCATTCATGTGAAGCGGCAAGAAGAGCAGAAGGATGATGTCGGGTGTAAAGATCTTCCAGACATTAGGTTGCCCGTGACTCTTCGACCCAAAATGTTCAACTGCTAAAGGGAAGCTTTCCTCCTTTTATAGTAATGGAGCCAGCTCCAGCTAAAAAATGCACCGAATCGTGCACGGAAACCTTCGACATCGTCAATGACCTTGCGAATTGGCTACGAAACGAGTCAAGACAACGTAATTTGCAAGTAGAGTTGACCGGACGAAGTCTGGCCGATTCTGCAACGAACTATTGTGCAGACATCTGGACGATGGCCTGAGAAAAAGCTGCAGGAGATTCAGGATATGCACGCCCGAAGCCTGGATACATTGGCAGATACAACAAAGGAGCAAGTGCAACAGTATATTGAGGAACAGCGGGCGATGTTACTTGGTTGTATAGACAAAATGTTTGATTTGGATGTGCGTCACTGTGGCAAAAGACGAGCCTGTATATGTGACTCTCCGCAAGCACATGGAGATTGTCCAGACAAACCGACACATCTGGAGCAAAATTGACTCTGCGACAAAAGCAACCTTGGATCTGCCACTCCGTCTCAAGAATTAGATGAATGGCATCTCTTCGGTGTTTCGCGATCACTTAGTTCGCGACCCTGAAAGCAATATACGTGAATCTTTAGCAGATTATTATGCGGGAGCTCACTTTCTTCGATACGAAAGTTGTGGCCAGTGGTACGAACATTGAAGAAATTAGGCCTGAAAGGAATCAAGAATCGGAGCTTCTATCAGAACGATTCCGCGACTGCATGATTAAGCCGTTGAATGAGGCTCGACAAGCTTGGTTCGAGGCTGTCGAAACGGCTTGTGCTGCCGCAGGAAGCGTGTTGGTGATCAACTGGAACGAGGAAAAGCACAGAAGACGAGCAAAAAGTTGTTTCTGAAGCTACTAGCATCCTTTTTCGTGCTTGGCGGGAGCAGCACAACAATGGCTGAAGACAACTATCTGCCCACGGGTACGCTCGACGACGATATACTGCGACGTTCAAAAGGTGCAGTGGAAGCCCGCAACAGACCAAGTGAAGGTTTTTGAATTGGCAAACAATTACACGAGTCTTTTAACACCAACGAGCTAGGCACTCATCATCTGAAGCCAGGTGAAAACTGCTAAGAACTTTCACCATTAAGAACCACTGCGTGGTGTTGGTAACGACTTCTCCGCAGGGAACGCTTTTTGCGTCCACTTGGTGATCGAAGGCGGGTTTCTCCTACCCATGTTGCTTTCAAATACCTGTCTGTATCGATGTTTCGTACTCAAGTCTGCTGTCTCCACAATAAACTCATTTGAAAAGATATTGGCCAATTTCGCGCCGTAACCATTTCGTCCACCCGTCGTTTCCTTCTTCTTGTTATCATCAAAATCGCTTCCCGTGAGCAAGTGGCCGAAGATCAATTCTGGCACATATACTTGATGCTCTTTATGCAATACAATAGGAATACCTTTCAGATTAAGATCTCATTTTTCTTGACATCAATCGTCACCTTAAGCGTATTCATCGATTGATCTCGCTGCTAATTATTACACGGATTACCAATAATCTCGTCAAAGACTTGTACAGACTTGGTACATACATGATCTTTTTCATCACCATTTTCTTCTTCTCATCGTCAGAAATCCAAATATTTTGCTCTACGTGCTCAATGGAGCCCACATATGTGTCTGGACGCAGTAAAATATGCTCTAATTGTGTTTTTTTCAAATAAATCTGCTCAATACTTTGCTTGGACATGTCTGTATCTTCCGTCATTATTATTTTCTCATCTCCACTGGCATCAATATCAAATATTGAGCCATCACTCTCACTATCAGATTTTGCGTCACTGTCCCACGCATTGATCTTCTTCTTCTGACTTGGTTTCTTCTTGGTCATCATCTTCTTTGTAGCTTTCGTGGCTTTACCTCCTGTGATCTTGTGCTTACGTGAAGTAGTAGATTTCATCTTACTTTTTAGTGTCACCTGAAAACCAAAGAGAATGTGAAGTAACAAAACATTACGACCAAAAGTAACATTGTATGAACACTGAAGTTTATAAAGGTTTTAAACAAAATAAAGAAAACAATAGCAAAATAACAAAATGTATAGCTAAAGAGACGGCGTACTTGATGATCTAAATCACTCATGACTAGCTACGACCGAAACGATAATAAAGCCACGTGAAGAATAAATGAGGTTGCGGAATGGAAAAATGACGTCAAGTCAAAAATAAGAGCGAGATAAAAAACCTCAGTGGATCTTGAATTTTGAAATCAAATGACAAAAGTAGATACCATTTTTTTTGTCTGACGTCGTCAGAGGTGTGTCTGTTTGATCAATGAATGATAGAATATACTTGAGTTGAGTATGCTTGCTGACGTTGCACGAACGTAACAATGTCCAATCTCTTGACACTACATATTGGTTTTACAGTATATATTGATCGACCTTATATAAATGAGTTTTGGTCATAATTATGATCTTTTCTATCATATTCTGCAGTTATGGCTACATTATGACCTTGATAGAGCAGGATTCGCGTAGCATAAAGTCTCATCATTGTCTTCTGAGCGAATCAGCACAGATATCTCCTCATTAGGTTTAGGATTCTTAGCTGCCAAGCTGATAACCAACCAAGCTCTAGTCTTACCGCAGCGACAGGTTATTTCTAGAACCACGAGCGATTGTTCGAAAAGAAAAGCAAGCAGACCCCATCTCTTAATGCGCATGTTAAAGCGTCGACACTTTGTTAATGTGGCATTCGATATTTCTTACCGCTCGCTAAAGTGTATAAGCTCGACAAGATATGAGTCTCACCATTGCTGCAGTACTCTATGTATCAAATTGTGGCTGGAAGGTAGCGTAGTAGCTATCATAGGCATCGATGACAGCGAACGGTGGTATTGAGCTCTTACAATATTCACACAACTTTGTGGTCGTTTGCCACCAAAACATGAACAAACACTTACCCACACGGCAGTTTTTTCAGTGTTTTCCTATGCCACCAGCACATGAATACTTGACAAGTACGGTATAAATACTACAGGCTTACCTGAAGCCTTTAATCTCGGTGAATACTTGATAAAATGGGTGCTTGTAACAAAGCATCTCCGACAACGGTATGTTGATCATGTTGACCATTAGATCGCCATGTATTCAACATCATTAAACCTAGTATTTTACATCATTAAGCCTAGGCGACGACTTTTACCAAGACGCCAGGTAACGCAATTCTGTACGTCTCACGCGACAGTAGTGCCCTGGACATCACACGTTCAATTGACTCTGAGCACGGAGATCCCTTCAACCAGTCGACGGCTACTGTTGTGACACTTTCGTTATCGTTGACGGCTGCTGTTGCGACACTTTCGTTACCTTTGCTAATTCTGCCAAGCTTATCCGCATGTCTGTCATTGTGTTAACCTCAACGCTGGACAATCTCTGATTGTCCAATGCAGCTTTTTAAGGTACAGCGCGGGTCGCGGAATGCAACCCGTTCGTCATTGGTTTTGTCAAACACTATAGATAATGCTTAAGTTTGACGTCGACTGCCACAGATTCCGCCGGCTACGATGGAAGCATTTTCTGCTGCAATGAATGCTGTTGCTACGGCATACGCTCCTACTACAACAAACGCTCCTGCGCCAGCATTTACTCCGTCTTTGGGTGGTTGTACAGAGAAGGGAAGCAGTGGTAAGAGGCACAAAGCAAGGGTAGCTATAGCTTTTGCCATTATATTGTAGCACCAACACCGCTGCCGTTTTGAGTTAAAGTGGCGAGCTGCCTCTAATATGGTAGGTGTGTAACATCGTTACAAAGAGCTACGGTATCGTTGCATAAGTACTAAGGCTCATCAAATTGAATGAATGCTTTGATCATCGTTACTGTAAACAGCAGGGTGTCATACCCATCACGATGGTAGCATCTTGTGAGGAAATGACACAATACTACAAGAAAATTAGTCATGTATCAAGGGTAAGGTGATATTGTCGGACCACAATACGATCCTGATAAAAATTACTTCTACCTGAGCAATTAAAGGTGACGACTTCAAATGTATCTCAAAAATGGCTGGCTTGTTCAATTACGACAATGTCAAGATAGTTTGTTCTCTCTGTTCGACGACATTAACATCCATAGATCAATAGATGACCCCGGTAAACGTGAGTTCGTTTAATGACGTAGCTTACGAGCACGCTTATCAGCACAACCCCCGCCCGAGGGAGGAGGCCCCTTACCATACGGTTCGGTTGAGTCTAGTGGTGGAGGAAGGCTGGCGTCCAGTGCAGATTCGACACCTGGCTCCTAATGCCCCTCACCAGGGGAAGGTCCACTGGCAAGAGCACTTTCAAGTCCGCTTGAGCCAGGCGCGATTAAGCCAAGGAGACCGGCCCCATGTTTACCAGTACTCCCAGGCTCCCCGCCTTTTGGCGGCGAAGCGGCCCCTTCTGCCGAGTCACTAGAAGTACATTTCGCTCCTTCACCGGAATGCTTAGTCCAACTTACCTCGAATTGAGGAGTTTCGCCCTCCTTCCACGTGCAGCATGGGTCACCGAGAGCTTGTCCCGCTGTTATCGAGGCACGAGGGAAAGTCTTATGACAGATTGTGTCCCACTTGAAGCCCGCTTTTTGAAATGCCGTACCAAAAGCAGTATAATTTGAAGTACCTTCGTATTCCAAATTGTGACCCGTTTGGGATCTACTCTTCTTTGGCCGCCACCATATTTATCGTGGACGCCACGATCAGAGCTGAAGCAACGATAGCAATATACGTCTTCATTGTTGGTTGTACTGTATTGTCTCGATGTAAGATAGATTTTGTTGAATACTACTTGGAAGTACAAGGAAAATTGCAAAATGACTACAATAAACGCGTTGGGTTTCCAAGCTTTATCGAGCATCGAACTGAAAAACTAAAGTCATCATTAGTCGTTTATCGTCAATGGTGGATCTTTCAACAGACAGGTCAGCAATTGGATATATAAGCCTTGTTATTCAATCATTATGATGATGTTTTTCTGACCCAGGGTGTCTTGGTTAGGTACAAAGCCACGTAGCAATCGCCTATCTCTGAAACGGTCTGTCGACATACCCACTGTGGCTCATTTAGAACACAAATGCTGTCCATATTATAGATCACGATCGATAGATATTGATCGGAGCAGGTACAGACTCCGAAACAAAGTTCCGATACGTTGGAAACGGCCATATGCAGCTCTATGTCCGTAAAGATTTCAACACACGAATACGATTGAATGTGATGCATTCGTCTAGTTCCTACACGGCGGTTTGTGATAGCATCACCCTGATGGAGTATATCCAGCTTCACCCGGCCAGAGTAACAATATCCAGTATCATTTCTCTCCGATCTGCTTCACGACATTGTTTCAATTTGACCAAAGGTAGGTTGCTAGCATCAAGGATTGGAGCTTCAAGGAATAAGCAAGTATACCTTGTGGCAAAGAATAAGCCGACTATTATACGTGTAAAGGCTGCGTCAGCTCACATGCTTTGTTCGACATCTACAAGGGAAGGTGAGTGGTACCTTGACAGATTTGTAATGTATACCTGGCTATTAACTTTCTCGAATTTTCATGGCGTAGTGGAATGTACAATGTTATCACCATCTTCATCCAAAACAGAAGCACTCCCTGGACTAGCTGGCGCGCCGGGAGGACCAGTTTGCCGGGAGGATCAGTACACCAGAGCTTGGTTCAAGTGGACGAAGAGGGGGCAGGTGCAAGCAGGGCGCCTCATCGTCACCCAACGTGATCCCGTGATGACCACGTTGTCTCAGCGAAAGCGTATCGGGCTCAAATTCGAGGTGGGGACCTATTTGGCACCACAAAGGTGGCAATCCTCAATGATTGAACGCCGGGTTTGGTCCCATTTGAGCCGGTCAGAAGTGTCCGCGAGAGCTGGTAGGAAGGGGCATTCTGGACACTGAATTTGCCGGATATTGTTTCCGCCCGAGAGGCGACGAGTACTTTTGGGCGTGTGCTCTCCAGCCGTTCTGGAGCATTTTCTCGTGGGCGGATGATCCCAGCATTTTTGGCTCCTTCCTAGCGATGCTGCGGCCGAGGGTTTTCAACTGGGTTGCAGAGAGCCCAATGCGTGATTTTGACAACAAGCGGACGAGGCAGACAGAATACGTATTCACATTTCCACAGTTGATAGCACGTCACAAACCGATCAAATTGCGTCGGTGAGCAATTACCGTCCTTCTGTATTCGTCACACCTGGACGTAGGGGCACACCTCAACGGTCAGTACATTATTGCTGAGACAATGACCACTGTTTACACACGCTGTACACTGGAGCATCACCAAACCGGGATTGATTCAATGAATACAAGTTGGTCTGTAACGCGTACGACGCACCGGTTTGGCTGCAGCAGGATAGTTCAGGGATTCGCTGGAAATTTCAAGGGGATGTTCCTCCGCTTGAAGCGGAGCCTGGCGGCATCCTTGCTGCTTTTGCCGCAACCTGCAGGAAGTTGGACTCGTTTTCGACACACATCCAATTCTTCACGGGTTCCCGTGGACTGCGCCTGATCAAGACTCCAGCATCAACCTGCGGGTCTACCTGAAACGGCTGGCTTATGGACACTTCAAACGAGACTTTAAGAAACCTTTGAGGTGATCGCTCAGCGTCTTGCTACCAGGGCAGCAGTGAATAGCTGGCAGTTCGATGCTATGTATCAGTACTCCGGTATCTTTGGGAGCATCAGCACAGCCTAGTGGACTACCAAGTCCGGACGATGCATCGGCTCGCGCGCACGAGCCAACGTTCTTCTACGTGGGTCGGCCCGCTGGGATCCCTGCCTTGTCGGGCCACAGCGCGCAGACCTAGTCGAGACGTACGATCACTGCTTCTACAGCTTCCCGTTTGCTCAAGCAACATTGGCGCAACTCATCAGCCGCCGAGAAGGCACCTGAGTTCCACCCGTACGTTTGGAACGTTGGAAACGCGCGTGCGCGACTAGGACAAGACCGCCCCAGCCGGGTTACATCGACGGATAGTCGGCCAGCGATACCCGGATGAGTCGGGCGGCGGTGGGGCGGACCGGGATCGTTGCTAGACGATCCGATGTGTAGTAGCGATCACGTGCCTCTGGATGCGTCGCGTGCAGCGAGTTTTCCGCGGTGAAATGGTTACGGCTCGGGAAGGAGCAATGACTTCTTGGGCAGAAACGGTGCGGCAGCTAGAGGCCGTTGCCCAACGCGAATGCCGCAGGGCGCGTACTGGCGTTTGCGATGCCAAATTATATGCGTGTCTTGGGATCTAAACTCAAACACCAAGCGTGGTCGGAGATCCCCATGTGGCAGGCTCTGACAAGACGTTGCGGTCTATGGCTCCGGCATTCTTGGTATGGCTGCGGAAATATTAGCTATCTTGTACTTAATTGTAAATAGACAATCCTGACTCTCTCTACAACGTTAAGCCCATCTTCATCCAAAACAGAAGCTGTCCTTTCGTAATGCTGATCGTGGCATATCATATTTTTGTGGTTTGTATGTCTAAACGTCGTCATCATCGTGTCCAATACCTCTGCAAGTCATATAGCTCATGAAGTTTATGAAGTTTATTTACACTTACGACCAAAAATTCAGAAGCATGGTCATAGTCCGTAACGAGTATTGCCTCATAATTATGGACGACCACTGCGCGGTAAGGTTTGCATAGACACTGCAATTAGTCTATATTAAGAAAAATAAGCGACACTATTGGTCATTACTGAAGTGATCAGCCTCAAAAGTTCCCATAAGTATAAGTGGGTCTGTTGTTTGATCAAAAGACACAAAAATACAAAAACCATATTCTCATTATTCAAACTTTTACAATATATTTTGCTCAGGCTAGCACAATCACCAATACATATTTTCGACACTGCTTCACTAGTCAGAAGATGTGCTCGCAGAGGAGGACGAGTCGATACCTATGCAAGACATTGCTTGTTTGCAACAGTCTGCAGCATGTTCCCTTGCTATCTCCATTGGACTCATGTTTCTAACTTTTTGCAGACACAGTCCACAAAAAGATACTTTACGCTGTACAAGCTGAAGGTCTGAGCCAACAAAGGTTACCTTGCATTGAAATCGGCACGAACGACATAGGTACCCTGAGCACAACTTGCACGTGCCGCTCACGCTTCTGCTATAATCTCCAACTCGAAATTTTGAAATTGGGTTGGTGCAAGTGACACAGATACTTGGTCGGGTCGGAGTGCCAAGCTCTTTTGCCAAAGCATAACGCTTCGCCAGCATCCACGCCATTTTCTTCATGTTGCTGCAATGCGCGTACTTAAGTGTTGTGAGGTAGCCCGTGGCAATACTGGGCATCACCAATGCCTTGATCATGTCGCCACCGGGATCCACAAAGCCTGAGCCGTACACCTGAATAGTGTCAGGACCTAGTCGTCGAAAGATGCAACACACAGTAATGTTCGCTCGAATACGACCAGGCAATTCTTTTGCCTGTGGAAAGTTCACAGAATGAAAGGTCATGACTCCAACACGCTCACCGGTTGACAAGCGAACCATCTTTGTGCACTCGAGGTATACATAGTCCCGGTTCTTCACTAGTGACGTCGACGCGAAAGGAAGATCAAGCTCCATCCATTTGACTGTCATGGACTTGAAGGGCTCTTCAATCGTTGGCACGTCTAGAGTGGCTAACACAGCGCCTCCACTCATATCCTCAACATAAGAAGCCTTGATCCGCATGGACTCGAGTGTCGGATTAACCGCCCCGAACATACAGTCGTCAACTGTTCCCCAAGTGGTTCCAGTCATCAAGAACTCTGGAAACTCCGTCTTAGCGCCATTCTCGGACGGATGATTAATTGATTCGCGCTCGAGATATACTCGAGTACCAAATTTGTTTTTAATCAGCTTCCACTTCTTCTCATCGACATTCGGGCCGCCTCTCGCAACAAACGCTTCGTACTTTTCAACGTTCTGTTCGACAAAGGTGTAGCCAAATTCTTTGAGGCTGTCCTTGTCAGCACGAGAGAGAGAAAGTTCTTCAAAAGGGTTGACAACAAAGCGGTCCTTTCCCATAGTTTCTTGATTTATTACTTACGTTTTGTAAGCGTTGGTATGGTGAAGGCAAGTCGCGTGCTTGCTGAAAACCTGCAATTTAGAAAATGAGATATGTGGCAACGGCCAAGACTTCCGTGGCAGGGGGAGCTATTTGCGGAAAGAATGGCGGATGACGCCCAGGTGCTAAAAAAAGCACGTGAGCGCTGTCTTGTGTCCGAGGCACATCACGTAGCTTCAACGTCCTATTGATCTTCAAGTGAGTTTACCAGTAGTTTGAAAAAACTTATCTTACGAAATGACATGATACCGTCACATTTTCTGCATTGTACGGACACGTGTGACGAGCAGGGCAAGCGGCATTAATGAAGAAGCTTTTACTTTCTTTGACATAGCTTATGTTGCATCCATTAGTAATGGTCCTTTTCGTAATACGTCGACCAGATTTGTAAGAGGGTGACAACAGTCAGAGCAACTATCTACATTCGACACTTGGTTAGAGCTGTAGCAATGTCAGACTTGCGGAGAATGTCTTTCGTATGCTGCAAGTTTAATATGACGTATACTATGCTTTATACAACATTTCGTGTAGCTAACACGCGGTTCCGACAGATGAACGCATCCCTTTGTGCTAACCCGATTCTTGTCCGTTAGATCATCTAGCTTTTATCGTTAAAATATAATGTCGCCAGCAAGACAATTTTACGTGATTGAAGCGTTGAAAAACACAACAGAATCGTATAGCGTCATCTCACATGTCATAGTGGGTCTCGCACATCTCTTACGGTCGATAATGCTCATACATTGCGATTCATGTATTTTGTTGCCACTTTTCTACTCGATGCAAGCCCCTGGAATCGTCTCGATTGATACCAAATCGGTTGCTCTATTAAGACTGGATTAGTCAAAGTTTGACAAAGTTTTTGCGCAACTTCTTTGATCCGCGGTAGTCTGAGGGTGATGCAAGCTGACCGCGCTGAAAGAAGACACACAAGAGCACACGAATTGCTACAGGCCATTTGGATTTACCTTCATCTGACAGCTTTGCTTTCTTGATGTACCATTAGATAAGTAACACAGAAGACGCCATGCGATTTACGATTGACCTCAGTTTCAGTTGTTCGATTACGCTCTTGTGCAATCAAAAGAAGATGATATGTGGCAGACACTTCGGCCATAGATCACCTTTTTGATTCCACAAGAGAATTTTCATCGCTACAAACTTTGCATTAGCAGAATGCTCTTTTTGTTTGGTCGGCGCCATGCGTTGGAACAGCATCGAAAACTTGCTTTCGCCGTAATTGTGCTCAGAATGATATTTTGATAACATCTGTAATGTAAAGCAACTTTGGACATCTTGAGAACACGTGAAGGTATATCTCACTAGATTGTGGCTACCAAAGATGAACTGGTTTCAATCTAGTTAGAAAGCGTACACTTGCGTATGCTGGTAGCAGTAAAACCATATTGTCAGTAGTAGCAACATAGTCAACAGAAATGCATAAAGCTGGGTATCTCAATGATATAAGATTGACAAGTTTTGACTTGCGCAGCCAACGGCACCAATTGTAACGAAGAGCACGAAAGGTGCAACGGACAACCTTTATACCTGCACACTATCAACATGGTAGCGTCTACTTTTCATCGGATACGGCTATGATTGACATCTGCAAAGGCATGCTAAATCTGTTCCTTACCATCTTTCAGCAGCGAGTATTGTACCAATTTGATCACACCGTCTTAAGGATAAGAACCAAACAAAAGATTTTCCGGCTCAAATACGGACTGATTGATTCTTTAGGGCTAATCTTACGAATTCCAGATGGGGTTGAAATAAGTTAGGATGCGAGGCATGAGGCCTGCCATTGAGCCCACGTCTAAGTTGCAATGCAACTACTTTCAAAGATTTTTGTCTCTTAACATATTGTGATGAGGAGACATTTGTGAAATCATTCCATCAACTTGCACCAAGTAAACATTCGTCGCTAGCTATATATAACGTAACGGTGATTTTTTTAACTACCGGCAATACTAGTAAACATGCTATCGAAATACAAGAAAGAAGAAGAGGACATGTTGCGAGAAAACGTCGTTTGTTCCTTATTGAGACTACTCAATGATGTATATCGCCTACCCCTCAAATGGGATTAATTGAGAACCTAAGGTAATGAACACCCCATCCATTTAAATACATTATACAAATGCAAATCTCTTTAGCCTCCATCCTTCGTGTAAATCTTTTTTCTCAACCTTTCTTCTCTTTTCCGTTCGTTCTCAGTCTTATTCTCATTAAATTATTGAATAAACAATTTTCTCAGTCTTATTCTCACCACAAATTGATAAATAGAAAGCGTTTAGGTTATTATTGATATGGTAAACAGACAAAAGAGCAAGTGCCAGTTACGTTTAGAAGCCCGTTCACGCGCCAGCTGCGCTCCTACAAGTGCCTCATTGGATCCACAATTACTGGCTGCTGAGTTGCAGTCACGCATTGCGCGCGCTAATGAGGTCCGTGCCGTCCATACTAGACAACTAGCAGCTCGAGCTCGTGCGCGCGTGCAACATGCCCAAGAAGTGGCAAGGGTAATGCGTATTAAGCGACATGAAGAGTCTAGGCGTTGTCGTCAGTCATCTATTTTGAAAATGGCTGAGGCGGTACGTCGTCGCCACGAATTACTGGAGCAACTGCAACTTCAATGTAAACAACGAGCCAATCTAATTAAGGAAAAAGTGGAGCTAGTGCGCGCTAGTCAAAGCGACAGGGTAGATCGGGCTCGTCGTACACTCGCAGACCAACTTGATGATGCTACTCGTCGTCGTCAAGAGCAAACAGAACAACGTGTACGACGTTTGATGAAGCGGCGGCACAATGCCAAATACCGTGCGACAAGTGTCAAGTACATTCAACGATGGTTTCGTCGCCATGTGGTATATCATCAGACGGTGAAAGCGTGGCGAGAAGTGCAACAAGATATCAGAAAAGTGACTTTCTGCTGGAATCAGATGAAAACGGCAAGTTTTGAGGACTGTATGAATCTATTGCAACAACATCCAGTGGTTGAAGCGGCTCAGCGATTAGTGAAGGTTTTAATGGCTGATACACGAACTAATACTACAGATTCTAAGCCTGCGGTGGAAAAATTTCTAGGATATGATAACAAGACTTTATTATTATGTTCTCAAGGAGGCAGGAGTTACCGGGTATTACTGATGGCAGGGATGATTTCATGCCATCCTGTGGATATTATGGGCTATAATCCATGTAAACGACTGTATTATGCTGCTAATGCAATTCTTTTAACTATGGAAAAATTGACACTCTCTTTAGCAGCTTCCAATGGGTGTCAGCGATCACAGGAATTCACACAACGTGTAACTGAATTGGCTGCAAGATTTCTTTTTTATACCGAGACGTTTGCATACTGGAAAAAACAAGATGCAAATCAGTTGGCAGTGGAGTTGTTGACGTCATATCGGGAGTTGATTATCGTGCACAGGAAGTACAAAATGCAAGCACAGCAAGCTAAGAATCGAGTAGATGGAGTGTCTGAACTTTTACGACAGACACAGGGACAATTGATGCAATTGCAAAGGGCATTGGAAAGGTTATTAGGTAAAAATGGTGCGAAACGAAGGGTGATGGAGCTCGAGCAGAGTTTACGACAGGAAGATCGAGTGGACAATGCATTGGTAAATAGTAATGGCAAGTCAATCAAGGAAGGAGACAACAATCGGCTGTCGTCTGGGGAGGGCGACACGGCGTCGTCATTGCCGATGAATGTAGATCATGACAGTGGTCAGGACAAAAAAGGCGACAAAGATGACAATATGTGGGGAGTTAATGTGGTGGATGATGATGCGTCTGGTGCAATTCCACCGAACGTTAATCAAGCTCTTCTTGCCGACCGCAAACTTGTACACGAGTTAATTATTAACCCGCGATTCCAGATCCAAAGAGACAAAGATGTCGAAGCATCTGCTGCAGCTATAGTATCAAAGCAGTCAATAGCAGCGATGACGGTCCGTGTGCGTGAAGCCATGACGAAGGCATTTTGGGACCGCGTGATTGCGTCTAATGACATCGAGACATTGCTTGCCTGTATGGAAAAGCTATGTACGACCTTCAGGGATGCTCTGGGTGGTGGCACCGCAGTTGGTTCAGGAGTCGCATTGTCAACGTTGTCGGACCAGGTGGACATCGCACTGCATCCAGACAAATTTCGAGAGCTGGTGCAGGATCCCATGAGGAATCTTCATGCCATTCAAGCGCGTTGTCTCAGCGTTTTGGACGCCATTGAAAGGGCAGAAGCACCAGCTCGAGCTGCGAGCACACGGTTGTTCCGATCCGACTGGGCTCAGCGAGGTGCGGTTGATGCAATGGCCTCAGTCCAGTTGCTGGTAGCTTTCCTTGCTTTTGCTTTGGATAAGGTTGACGAATTGCGAGTTGATGTGCTGAATGCTCATCTCGGTCTTCTTGGCGTTTTTCTGCAGCAGTATGGTGTGGAGTACGAGCAGAAGCAGCTCTACTCTCGGCTGTCAGAATCGAAAAACAGTATGGATATGAATTTTGCAATGACCCGCAAATGGCTGGAAACGGAAATGGAAGCCTATTTAACTCGGCCTGATGTTGATGACTTAGAGCGTGCTTGCCTTGTCCGACACGATGGTGGAGCTTTTAAACGCTTCATGCGCGCGAGTATTTGGGCGCTGGTGGTAAGGCATATCGATGATACTCCCTCTCGTATCTGGCCAGAGACTTTTGAACTGGATGTGGAGCGTATCCGTGCTTGTCGTGATGCACTTGATCGCATCGCAGTTGTTTCGAGCCTACTTGCATTGGTTCAAGATTATGTTGCTCGACGTAGCCTAGCCACTCCTGCAGGATTTGTTAACGCTGTTGGCAATCAACTGAGCAGACTGCTGCAATCACCTGGAATTACGGGCGTACAGGTTGCTGCCCAAGCTTTTCAGGTTGTTCGTGAGTTCGAGAGCTCGGACGGGGAAAACCGTCAACAAGAGCTGCAAGTCTTGGAAAAGCAGCTGATCAATTCCTTTGCTCCTAACAATCCCGTGTTCAAACTCTTTTTCTCACGAGCGTCTCGCGCTTTCGAGGTTACGTTGCAGCAAGGCAACGCGATGGATAATCTGCATTCATCACTGGTACCTTTTGCCACCGAGATCAGTGAAACCACGTTAATGCTTCGACGTCTCGCGCAGCACAACGAGAATGTCTACGTGTCGCTTTACAATAACATTATCAAGCGTCTGGTACCCCCTCCGGTGTAGACAAATTGCAAGATGGTTATAGGTTGTGTCACTGAAATGTTTATCACGTCTTGCCAAAATCACATATTGTGGGATAAGAAGAGTACCCTCTTATCATGTATTGTTGTTGTTTCCTAGCTACTTTCTCTCTTCACCCGTACACTAACCAAATCAAATTAACTCAAAAGACGTGCACCATGAACAGCTTCAGTACCGACATTGGCATCGGTGCTAATGTTGTACAAAAGTTGCGCTAACCAGCGACTCGTGGTGGCATCTTCTTTTAAAGCCTCATCAAACGTGTTGTTACGCAAAGCCTCTGGCAAACACTGACGAAGGGCTTCTTTAGCACTGCAAAAAAACACAATCGAATGTACATTAGCTTCAGATTAGTAATCAAAGAAAAAAGACACTCTTTGGTTGCAAAGATAATATCCTACCGTGAATTATCCGACAAACGAAGGTAACAGCGAATAATATGCTTCAAAAGTCGTGGAGCTGGTGTATCAACCAATGTCGTCACCATTTTGCTCAATACCGTGCCAACCGCATAGAATCGCTCCGGCGTGTGACAAATATAGGTAAGTCCCATATCATCTAGTAGAATTTTCTGCACAATAAAGGTAGCTACTGTCTTGGATAATTCACTACCTGCTTCCATAATACGGAGACAAAGTGGGATAATCTCCGTTTGTAGCAAAAAGTTAATTACGTCCGAGTCATCAACCTGCACGTCAACAAAAGAATAACAGAGACATCATAAGTAGTCTTATAAGAATAAAATCACTCTTACACGGATAAAAATTAGTATTTTGGATTTTTTTATGTTGAAATATTTTTACCTTAACTAGTGCGCCAATGACCCCCAGACTTGTTAGACGTAAATATTCAAACGGTCGATTCTTGCTCACTGTATTTAAAAACGGATATAAATATAAGGGAATATGGGCTGGATAAAACACACACCAGGTTTTAGTGTCAGTTACAAAACCATTTTACCACCTTTTCGTGGGTTGTTTTACTTATTCACTTAAGACCATCACTCTTCACTAGTTTTTTTACGCACCGTTAAGGAAATGAGTACGAGTTTCTGAGTGTGATGCCACACATTGTAAAAGTGCCAGTGCATTGCACACTCGATTCGACGCGTGGGCCGTGAGTTGCGGAGGTGACAAAAGCGGATAAATAGCGACGATTTCTTGCAGCAAGGCAGCCACCGTGCCAAATGAGTGCCAAAGGACAGGCGCAAGTTCTGGAAATTCTTCGCGCTTTTTGCTTAGTTCCAATAATGCGCTTTCGCGCTGTTCGGGGGACGATAACTCGAGCACGAGTGTATACAACTGCTCAGGGGGGTTCATGAGCTTTTTATTTACTTTTTTGGTACGAGGTTTTTGTTACAATTTGAAGTAACAATATATTTGGGTAGCTTTTAGTTTTTGGGTTATAAAATAAGGTCTTGATTGTTTATTTCAGTATCAAATGGCATCAGATGTTTATTTCAGTATCAAATGAAGGTCATTTACACAAAGATAAACAAACTAAGGCTACATCAGACCAACCAATTCATCAACAAATTCGTCAACGAGCCATGTTGAAAGTAATTAATCTTTTGAAAATGACTCAATAAGTGCGTATTGCAATTTGCACGTCATCTATCACTAACTTGTCTTCTGAATGATACGTAAGCAGATCTGCCCTAACCTATATCCTGTAAAACTTTATACGCAAATAAAATTATGATTGGTAATAAAGCCACAGCTGTAAAAAAATGTTTGCATCATAGTCATCCTTACTTCTTTACCCTGCTTTACACATCTCTTATTCATCATTAGCTCAGATCCTCTACTTCACAACTAAATCCGACATGCCTAGGAATAATGGAGACACCGTTGGTGTTCGCTAGCAATTGTGCTAGTGTCAGAGAGGAAATATGTAGCACTGAAATAAGAGGATTCTGTCATTCTCGGTTGCCCTTGTGTTATCAGTCTTGCCTCGCTACCGCTCATGTTCATCTACTCTGTTTCCTACAGCCGAAGCTGACCGAGGTTAATAACACGACAGGCCCTAAGTCGTTAGCCGCCACTATAAGAATCCCAGCACGCCTCTTCATGCATGTACGTACCTAGCATGGAACGACTAACCAACTCAAAATAATGCAATTTTCAACACCCCTCCTCGGTTAACTTACCGTCCTAACCAACACGTATTAAACACGCGACTTTGCAAGCTTGGTCGCGTCGAGTGCCTTGTGCTGGCACGGTGTTCGAATCGCACGTCTGTGCCAGCACAATTCCACGCCGGGCAAAATCACAAACAAACTTGACTCGAACGTCAATTTGTTTGGCCTTGAGCGACGACGCTTCATCCTCAAGCTGTCGAATAGCGGATTGATTTTCCATATGCATTAACATGGACTGTTTTGGCACTGCGCCAATTTTGTATAGCATTTCGCGTATGCCTAATAGCTCTCGCGCAACCTCCGACGCCGCCACAAATTCAGCTTCCGTCGTCGAAAGGGATACACCACCCTGTTTCTTGTGACCGCCATATTGTTCAGGCAGAAAGTCCCTGACCAAAGGTATTATACTTTTGAACAATATGGCGGTCAGATGTCCGCGTCGCTGTAACTTTCAATTACAATCGACACATTTCATTTTTGCTTGGTTTCATGTTAAATTTCACCGCTTCGTGCGTTTTATGTAGCGGGACACTCGCTTTGCAAGCTTCCAATCGTGAAACAGTGGTAGATAGGTTTTGACGTGTCGCTTTGCGGACTGTAAATACAATGTCGAGCCGCGTGCATCGTGAAATCCAAATCAGCAACCCAATCAGTAACTGAGGCTCCTTCACTGTTAGTCATCCATTCTTGCCCTTGACCTCGAGCAATCCGCTATCACTTGGTGCACCTAGTAGCAGTAGGCGGAAGTATTGAATAAGCATTTGAGAGTCCGTGCTCATGTAGCAAGTCAGTTATAGCCTCCTCCTGGTTCATGAGATAGCCACCATCTTCGATAATCTACACTCGCATCCCAAGAAACTTACTCACTTGGCTGAGATTTTTAATCGACAAACTTGATAGTCCTTTGAAGAAACGGTCAGCTGCGGCCGCATTAGTGCGGTGACCAGAAGGTCATCCACACCACAACAATGTCCTTATCAACGCGCTTCCAGCACAGACACATGTCAGATCGGTCTTCATTTTAAACACTAATATGGTGTTCAGTGCATTTTTTGCAGGCACCTCGCTTGACAAACCGCCAAACCTTGTTTTCTTCAAAAGCTTTTACTCTTCACGCATGGACTTCTCCCATCCATAGCGCTTGCTGATGCGCATTGCTTCTCCACACTTATTAAGATCTCGCTCGTAACATGAGCCACGGCAGTCTTTTTATGTCTTTGCTCCTCCCGAGTACCGATAGACCGAGCACGTTTCGATGCACCTCGAGACCTGTGGGCACCACGTGCCAATGGCTTCGACTTCTTCTTTCCTTTATGGCTGTTTAAAGCCAAGATTAAGACTGCTTCACCGAAGCATGTCGTTCCTCTTCATGCTCATGAAAGGAGTGCGGACACCGATGCGCTAAAAAGGGTTCTCAAATGCTGAGCGGTATGGATGAGCGCATGAAGAAGATAAAAACTGTCTCACGCTATGCTTGCTGAAGCCGAGCTCATGCAAGGCACCGTACAGCGGTATGTTCGGCTCCATTCTCGGCGCTGACTTCGCGATTAGGCTATATCGAGATGCTCTCGAATACCCGGAGCTACCAAGTCATCAAGCACCGCGACATGCGACGTATCAGGAAGATGAGATCGGTCTAAGAGTTCAGCAACGTGCACCGCAGAGCGTATAGCCGCTCCCTCAATCGCCTGCTCAACTGCCGCCGTACCATCCGGGGCCGGTACCGCAGTATCAAATCCCTACTCAATCTCCTGCGACGTCTGAGTACCGGACCCCAACGCGGGTCAGAGAAAGCTTGCTATGCGCAAGCACGGTCGACGGGACCGAAGTGTACATCAAACTGCAATCCGAATCTTTGACTGGGGCAAAACTCTCTTGCGACAGGTGGACATGGCCCAAGAGTCGTGCGGATTTCTCGGACAAGCTCTCGGCGACCCATGCTGCACGTGGAAGGAGGGCTAAACTCCTCAGAGCGGCAATTTAACTCCCTTGGCCGATCAGGGGTAATCGGTGCTTTCTGGCAAAACTTGTCTGACCCAAACAACATCTTGCCCCGTCGAGCCTTCATCCGTTAACGCGCCCTCAGTACATTCTACAACTCCTCCACATCAGCCAAACGTAACACGGTCAACTGGTCCGCCAGGTCGGGGTCTTCCAAGGTCTCGATATATTGTTCGACATGTTCCTTTTGAATCTTGGGCGGCCCATCCTTGATTCTTTCTCGAAGTCCAATGACATTCAGACGGTACAGGTAGTCCAGCGGGGATTCTTCCGACCTTTTCTTTGCGTATTAATATTGGCGGGCCACTGGTACCCCCAAACCACAGAATTGCATCTGGAATTCCTGTAACAAATCCTTCCGTTTTCCACGAACTCCAGTTTGGACAGTTCTGATAGTGGATGTGACCTACGGAAGGTCGCCTCATGGCTAAGGAGACGGAAAGAAGGACCTAGGGTCAAGGACCCATAAGAGCGGTCGACCAGCCCCGACCCTAGACCAAGGACCTTGGACCCCGCACGGCGTCAGCAACCCCAAGTGCAAGATGCGCCCATTGTAGGTCCAGGAAGCATGGAGACTTGGGTCGTTGGAAGATGCTGACCTGAGATTGATGTGGGAAGAACGGCCATCCATCGGATCGTTGCCTTTTCGTGTGTCGAGGCTGTGGAGAAACCCACGAGGTTGAGAAGTGCCCGATGGAAGAGTTTTATAACTTGATCAGTCAGTGGTACAACCCGGCCAAGCACGCTGGGACGTTGCCGGAGAAGGTCGAGCAGATGCTAAATTAGGACGCAAGCCAGGTTTGAATCTGGTACGATCCGAGCGCTCTAATTGTTGCATTTTTGCATATGTGGAAAAGCGCCCCTAAGGGGGGAGGGGGCATACAGGATAAATCGATGGGAAATATATCGAAGTTTGAAAGTTACCCTAGGGTCCATGTTGCTTCTTTCGGTGCGTCTAACGATTTTTTTCGGGAAAGTGCAGTGATGGAGTTGGACCTACTGCCGGGATAGTTGAGGGGTCATTGGAAATACCATGCTACTACGAAATGTTTTGGACAGGCCAAGGCCTCTGGGAAGATTAACGACGATCGAGCTAACTTGTTGTTCGATACTGGCGCCGAGATATCTATTTTGGGACATCTCCTTTGCTCGTTAGGTAGGCTGCCAGATTGATGAAAGTGAGCGCCAAGAATGTGTGGTATCGGGGAATCCGTGTATGCCGCAGAAGGACGCACCCGCATCAAGGTCATGAACGGGAACTTGGTATACATCTCTAAGGTGTGGTTGGGCCCGATGATGGGTCAAGATGCAATTTTAGGCATGGACTTCATGGTCCCAGCCGGTATTCGACTAGACCAGGCAAATGGGACACTATGTCTTTCCGATGAGGTTTTCGAGTCCAGTTAGCAGGACGAAGGACCCTGTACGATAAGCGGGTATCAGATGTGAAGTTGGGTCGTTACGTGCAGATACCGGCTGGAGGGTACAAGGAAGTGCCTTTAAAAAGGGCGACCTCGCACCAATGGAAGTTGTGGGTGACAAGGGGAGAACGATGGATCACGACTATGAGCCAAGGGGTAGGAAGTCGGAAGTTTGTAAAAGTTACCAATGTCAGTGCCTAACCCCTGATATTACACGAGGACACCAAGATAGGGATGTGGCTGACGAAGGACCAAGTACCAAGAGTGCAGGCTTTTGTGTCGGTAGGGTCTCAAAGATATGCTGAGTGGTTAAACTTGGTGTATGAATCTACCACCGACATAGTCTACTATCAGGAAGACCTGACGGGGAGGATGAAGGACCATTGGTGGAGGTACCACAGTACAATACTCCATCTAGAATACTTCAGCGGCCAAGGATACTTTTTCAAGCAAGGAATATGGCATTCCAGCCGAAGGTCATGTCACCTTCTCCATATAATTTGTCTCAGTCGGTCCACCTCCTCTGGGGTGTTTCCGTCAGAGTCAGGAATCTGTATATCTTCCAGCTTGACACTTGTAGGTAAAGGGTCGATCTCCGGTATGATAGCTCATCCTTGGTTTACATCTTCGGCCCAGAGTTCCTCCACATTCGAACGTGCACACTTGGTCATCTGCTTGTGGCGACTCTACCAGCGATCCTTCACCTTTTTTCGTTCGCCCCACTTGTTCGACCTGAGGGTCTACTTGGGCGACCTTAGGGTCTACCTGGTCGACCCGGGGGTCAACCTGGTCGACCTAATCTTCTTCTTGATCGAGAATTTGGAAGCGATTAATCGATTGCCAGAGTTACTAGTTCCCAAGAGGGGAGTTCATTGGCCAAGGTGCTTGCAATTACTCGATCTCGAGCTCCTATCAAGATGTCCGGGGAAATTCGGCAAGAGGGTGTTATACAACGACGTTGGACAGATCGAATCAGGGAAGCCCAAGATCAAGAGGACTAGGTGTGAAATTTGAAGCCTTACTTGAAGAGAGATTGGGCGACCTATTTATGGAGACCGCTCACTCGTGCAGTAAGATGGCCAGGGACTACGAGATAAGTGAAGAGGGCCTATTCTTGTATTTTCCTGGTCAGAGGGCCGAGGGAGACGATCGAAAAGTAACGAACAGACTAGTGATACTCGAAAGTCCCCAAGCTGACGTCCTGCATCACTACCTCACCAGCCTGGAAGGAGGTCACCAAGAAATTGGGCGTACCTATCACCGAATCCGACGGTACTGCCATTGGAGAGGTTTATTCCGAAGCGTACAGAGGTATGTAGGGACATGTGTGGATTGCGAGACAGGGAAAGGAGGACCTAACCTGCATGGCAAGAGTCCATCCATGAAATGTCGAAGCAACATACCCTTTCCAGATTATAGCGATGGATCATATTATCTCTCTGCCCAGATCGCATAGAGGAAATACCGAGTTACTAACTTGGGTCGACCTGTTCACGGGATATGTGATGGCCAAAGCTAGTGCGTCGCGAACGGCCCAGACGGTAGCTGAAGGGTACGAATAATGCGTTTTTCGCCGTTTTGGTGCTAGCGAGGCCATCCGCCACGATCGAGAACCATGATTTATGTCGGATTTCTTCCGGACGTTTGGTCGCATAGTGGGCCAGCGTCAACAGGCGACCATGGCCTATCAACCTCAGGCAAATGGTACTGCGGAGAAAATGGTTCAGACTCTGATTAGGTCCATTAAGATGTATGTCTCGGATGTCGGACAGCAGGATTGGGACAAGTATGCAGAACGGCTAACGTTTGCGATGAACACCGCGCAAGACCGAGTCCGGAAGGAGAAGCGGTTCTATTTGGTCCAAAATTGGGAAGCTAGGAACACCCTCGAGGCTACATTACCTGTGGTAAATACGCAACGTCGGGGATATAGACCACGCAGATGGAGGTATTACATTCAACAACACTATCAGCGGGCGAGAGCCCAGGTGAACGAGAGCCTACGAGCGGCCAGTCAAGCTTGGTTCCGATCCCATTATGAGGGGTGGTCGATCACAAGATTCATCCGG